AGGGGGAGAGAGAGAGAGGGCGAGGGAGAAACATCCATGTGAGAGAGACACATCAACTGGCTGCTGCCTCTAGCATGCGCCCCAACTGGGCCGGGGATGGAACCTGCAACCCAGGTCCATGCCTTTGACTGGGAACTGAACCCACGGCCCTTTGGTCTGCTGGCTGATGCTCTAACTGCTGAGCCACATCGGCCAGGGCGTCACTCACATCCTTCTCGATGGCTGAATGGAGAGGAGTCCAAGGAGCCTAGAGGAGGGCAGGCTCACAAGCTGGAAGCCTGGGGCCCTGACTCACTGCCCCCTGCGACTTGTCTGCACAGAACTGTAACACGAACGAGGAATACACATTTTTTGTAAAGCCACGGAGATTTCAGGGCTGTTTGTTACAGACGTTAACCTACCCTGATTAACCCAGCAGAGGAACAAGGTAGGTGATTAGTAAGGGGGTGTTTCCAGCAGAGGAAACAGCCTGGAATAAAGCTCAAAGCTGAGATTAATCATCATCTGCATCACCGTCATCACTGTCACTGTCATCTTCAAAATAACAATCACAATAGCTACTGTTTAGTAGGCACTTGCTGTGCCAGTCTCTGTGCTAAGGACATTACCTATATAATTTCCATTTAACCATCACACTACCTGAACAAGGCAGGCACTAATATCAATCTCCAGTTTTCTTCCAATTCCCATTTTATAGATGAGAAAATTGGTCGAGAGAGAGAAAAGGACTTGCCCAAGGTCACAGCCCGAGTGGCAGAGCCAGGACCTGAATCCAGATCTCTCTGGTTCTGTATCCTAGATCCGCATCCACTGCTGGCCGGCTGGGTGCAAAGTGTCCGGCATTGGTGAGGGGGGTGGGATGTGCTAGCGGACGCCTCAAATGGCAAGCTAGGAGATTAGCTTTTCTCCTGAAGGCCAGTGGGGGTTTTGAAGCAGGAAAGAGCCATGATCACATCTGGTTATTTACTTTTAAATGTTGGATAACTATCGCTTCATATCTCTTACAGTCTGTCTCATTCACTCATTTGAGTATTTCCTGAGCAGTGGGTAGGTTTTCCAGGGCTGGATGCCCAGAGATGAGTCAGATGAGGTCCCTGTCCTGGAGGGCCTTTCAAGATTTATGAGGAGGTAGACACAAATCACTGTAATATCCCATCTCGAGTGTCACATTCCCTGTAAAAAGGATAGGTAACCTCATTTGGGGGCTGAGGGGTGGAAAACATTAATTCCAGGGGATGAAGGCACAGATAGCTAGCTTTCTACCCCGACATCCATGCTTCCCTTTCTCCTTAGCAGAAGAACCCTGATTGCATTTTCTGGTCGCCCTGTGCCTAGCAGAAAGATATATTTCCCAGACTTTCTTGCAGCTAAGTGAGGCCATGTGAATGTTTTGTCCAATTGGATGTAAGGAAAAGTGTCATGTGGTAATTTGGGAAGGATTTCCTAAAAAGGGGGCAAGTCCCTTGTCCACCAGGTCACCTTTGTGCTGCTTGGAACTGGGATGTGGGTGCCTGGAGTTCTGGCAGTCATACTGGACCATGAGGACAAGGGCAGCAGGGAGGGTGGAACCAAGGCCTGGAAGACACCTGGGCCTCTGGTGATGACTCTGTAGAGCTGCTGTAAAAGCCCTGGATGCCTACTTGAGGACTTATTTTATGCTTGAGTATAACTTTTTGTGTTTTAAAGCCACTATTAGTGGTTTATCTAGTATCTGCTGGAATATCAAGCTTAACATGCCCAATCCAAATGTTTTCCTCTTCATGTTTTCTTAATCTCAGTAAATGTCACAACCATCCACCTGGTTGCTCAGGCCAAAAACCTAGAAATCATACAAGTTCTCACCCTTTCCCTCACCTCTAACATCTTTTCCATCAGCAAGATCTATCCATTCTACTTCCAAAACATACCCCATATCTATTCACCGTTGTCTACCTCTTCTACGGTAACCCTAGTCCAATGACACTATTTCTTATTTGAACCTCTTTTTCCCCAAAGTGTTTTTAAATTGATTTTTAGAGGGAGAGGGAGAGAGAGAGAAACATCGATGTGAGAGTGAAACATCAATCGGCGGCTGCCTCCTGCATGGCCCTCACTGGGGATCGAGCCAGCAACCTGAGCATGTGCCCTGACCAGGAATCGAACCAACCACCTTTCGGTGCACAGGACGATGCCCAACCAACTGAGCCACACCGGCCAGGGCTCTTACTTGAACCTGTTAGAGCTACTCATGGGCCTCCTTGCTTCCATGCCTGCCTCCCACCAGGCCATCTCCACACAGCAGCTAGATGGATTTTCCAAAAAGGTAAATCAGATCAAGTCACTTCTCTGCTTAAAACCCTTCAATAGCTGCCCATCACACTTAGAATAAAACCTAGACTCCTTCCCTGGGCCTTCAAGGTGCTAGGTGGCCTGGGCCCTCTCTGGCCACAGTTCCAACCACCCTCACTTCACTCCAGGCTCACAGGCCTTGACATCCTTCAGACTCCCTGAGCTTGTCACCACCTCAGGGCCTTTGCACTTGCTCTTCCCATTGCCTGGAATGTTGTTTCCCCTTGATCATCCCAGGACTGCCTCCTGTTCTTTCAGGTCTCTGATCATATGGACACCTCTTCAGAGTGACTTTCTCTCACTCCGCATCCCTTCACCTCCAGAACACTTTCTATTTCATCACCATTGTTTTATTTCCTCTATGGAAATTTCACTGAAATTATTTTATTGTTTGCTCACTTGTATACTGTCCCCCATCACTAGATATATGCCCCATGAAGCAGCGATATAAACCATTGGGTTTACTGCTGTACCCTCAGTGCCTAGAAGTGTGCCTGGCACTTGATAAATGTCTGGAAGATTGATGAATGAATGGCATGTGTCAGGCAGGATCTAATTTCAGCCTCACAACAACTTTGTGACATCACTATTCTCATCGTAAACACCTGGGTTGATCCCAGCTGGACCACTTGCCATCTGTGTGATCTTGGCAAGTGGCTTAACCTTTCTGAGCCTCAGATGCCCCACCTGCAAAATGGGGATGAAGCCAGTGCCTGCCTCATAGGGATTAGCCCAGTGCCTTGAGTTCAGAAGGCCCTCTCTGCAAAACTGCTATTATTACAACCTCCAGAAACCTGCCCATGCACAGGAAAACGGACCTGCCTGCTTAATCTGGCACTTAAAAAAAGCAAACGTTTTGAAGCCTATCCATGGATCCTGGACCTCAGGGCTAGCCCAGTGCTAGCCCCCATTTTACAGATGTGGAGAATGAGGCTCAGGGGTCCCAGGCAACTCGGTGGCAGAAATTCAACATCTCCGGAGAGCCATCAGGACCTCTGGATCTGCCCCCCAAGTTTATTCCCTGCTCTCTGCTTGAGGGTGCACATGGGGTGAGGGGGGGCTTTTGTCTAATTCCCTCCCCCTCCTGAAGACTCAGTAACCAACAGTGTCTGTGCCTGGAATATTAATGTCCCAGGAGCTTTTGTTTCGGGGTTGGGGGGTGGTGAAGCGGGACTTTCTGGTCAGAGAGGGGTTGAGCTTAGGGGACTAGGGCACTGGCCCTTTAAACTGTGTTGACAGCCTGGAGTCGTCATGGGGATGGTGTCTGGAAAAGAGACGGGAGGGTTTGGGAAAGAGTGGCTGAGCAGGTGACATGTAGAGACCCAGAATCCAGCACTCTGCTCCCTCAGACCCGGGAATCCACCCCAACTGCCTCCTCTCCCAGGATCCAGGGGACCAGGCTCCCAGCACCCTCTCCCATCAGCACCCAGGAGTCTGGGTTCTCAGCATCCTCTCAAGCCCAGGAGTCCCCAGCCCCCAGCCTCTCCTCCCTCAAACCCAGGAGTCTGGGCCCTCAGCCCCTCCTCCTTCAGGACCCAGGAGCCAGGGGTCCAGAGTACAGCTGGTGGATGTTTCCACGGAAACTGAGCGGGGTGGGGGAGCACTTCCTGGGTCCTGAGTCAGCGAGTACCCAAGGGAGTCTCAAGGTCATGGTTCCAGGAAGGTCACAGCCACCCCGACTGTATCTGCTCCCCAGGAGGCTCGTGGCATCATGCCTCCTTCCCCCACTTCCTCCCCCAGGGAGGTGGTACATCCCTACGTCCTGATTGAACCCCCCTCAGCCCCCCACCAATGGCGGAGTCCGAACATCCTTGCACAAAGCATCAATTCTTCCCCAGCTCAGCCTTGTGAAGGCGCCTGTATTTGCGGGACCTAGGCGTCAGGGTCCCAGCCCCTCCTCCCTCAGAAACCTGGAGCGGGGACCCCCAGCCCCTTCCTCTCTCAGGACTCAGGAGTCTGTACCCCTACCCCCCAAGACCTAGGAGTATGGGCCCCCAGCCCCTCCTCCCTCAGACCCAGGAGTCCAGGCCCCCAGCCCCCTCCTCCCTCAGACCCAGGAGTCCAGGCCCCCAGGCCCCTCCTCCCTCAGACCCAGGAGTCCAGGCCCCCAGCCCCCTCCTCCCTCAGACCCAGGAGTCCAGGCCCCCAGCCCCCTCCTCCCTCAGACCCAGGAGTCCAGGCCCCCAGCCCCCTCCTCCCTCAGACCCAGGAGTCCAGGCCCCCAGCCCCCTCCTCCCTCAGACCCAGGAGTCCAGGCCCCCAGCCCCCTCCTCCCTCAGACCCAGGAGTCCAGGCCCCCAGCCCCCTCCTCCCTCAGACCCAGGAGTCCAGGCCCCCAGCCCCCTCCTCCCTCAGACCCAGGAGTCCAGGCCCCCAGCCCCCTCCTCCCTCAGACCCAGGAGTCCAGGCCCCCAGCCCCCTCCTCCCTCAGACCCAGGAGTCCAGGCCCCCAGCCCCCTCCTACCTCAGACCCAGGAGTCCAGGCCCCCAGCCCCCTCCTACCTCTGACACACATGTCCAGGACCCCTAGCCTTCTCTTACCTCAAACCCAGGAATCTAAGTCCCCAGCCCCTTTTCCCTCAGACCCAGGGGTCCAGGCCCTCTGCCCCCTCCTCTCTTGGAAATTTTTGACTCCAGGTCCACAGTCCTCAAACCCCAGAACCGCAGTCCTGCCTTCCCCCAGCCCTCTGTTCCCCTCTTATCTGGGGACCAAGCATCAGGTGGGGACATAGGGGTGAGTCAGCAGCCTCACACACAAAGTCTCTCCTGTGGCCCCCACATTCCTGGGATATTCAGAACTCCCTGGATTCTGGGCCTCAGGCCCAGCCAGGGGGTGGGGGAGTCCTCTGGAGTTTCCCCCTGGGGGGGGGTCAGGGGAGGAATTCCTGCTCCGGGAAGGGTGCAAGCCTGCACTGAGCGCTCGCTGTCCTATCCTCCACCCCCAGTGCCCACTCTTCACCCCACTCCTAGAAGAGCCCCAGCTCTGCTGCTGCCCTCTTGCCCTACTGGGTGCCTGCGGAGGAGCTTTGGTGCCTGGTTCCCAGAGGGCCTAGGGGCCTGGGGTCTGCACAGGCAGGAACCAGTGGGTGCTTGGGTCCTGGTGCCACAGGCCATTGGGCGCTGGCGAGTCTGACTGTCTCCAAGTCCCCCCCGCCCCACCCAGAGAGAGAAAGCTGTCTTTGTGTTCCCCAAGACCGGGACAGGCCAGGCTCGCACGACATTAACCCACCCAGGCCCCAGCCCTGCTGTGTCTAAGGTCTTGGAATCCTTTGCAGAATCTGACCCCAGCTAGAGGGACTCAGGCATCCAGCTCATGGGTAGGTGGGGGTCAGTGACAGAAACTTCCCAAGACCTGTACCCGGGCTGACTCACACTGGAGGGAAGCCCCCCTGTTCTCAGAGTAGCTGGTAAGTACTTGAAAAGGGAAAAGTGAGTCACTTGGGAGGAAAACATTATTCGGGATCAACAAGCTCCCCCTCCACAAAGGCCCCCAACTCCAACAGCCTCTCTCTTTTCTTCACATCTGGATATGTTTCCTCAGCGCCTTTCTGTTCGTTTCCGGCCTGTGCATCTCTGTCTGCCTGTGAGCATCCCTAGGCAGGCGACCCATCTCTTTCTCATTCCCACCCTGGACCCTCCTTTCTTTTGGCATAAATCTAATCATCCTCTGCTATTCGTGGCAGATGAGTGAGCCAGGAAAGAGAGAATACGTTTTTGAAAGGGCACAAATGGACGCCATCTCCCATCCCCACTCCTGCTGGCTGGGCAGGTGAGAGAGGAAGGAGGGTGACTAAGAGGGAAATGTGGGGATGACACCCCCCCCCCC